GTGGGTTTGGGGGATAAATTTCAGTCTCCAGTATATTAACATTTGGTATTACTGAAAACATGAAGGATTACGGAATGCCAGAGGGATTGTGTATTTTCATCCTGACTCATTAAGTAGTTCTGAGTAAGCATTCCCAAAGGGTTCCCCAGTGTTTCTCACAGCTTTATCAGTCTAATTCCATATCTCCAAAAAGAGACAGACAGACAGACAGACTCCCACTAACTTCTCATGGAGCTGGACTGGTCCTGAAATGTGCTGCATGCAGGATAGATAGCTGTTTGCTTAGAAGCATGAAAATAGCTGAAATCATATTGAGAAAGTGCATGGAGGCTCATTAATTGGAATTATTTTTGTCTGAGTAGTATTCATTTGATTGTTCATGTTTCCGGTTGTCAGATTACAAACCAGTGATGAATAGAAAAGTCATAAAAGATTGAGAAAAACACAGGATCACAGGCTCTGATTATGTCATGCAACCTGTGTGACGGGAGAACTAGGATATTCTGCTTTTGGGATCAGTGAAACTATGACTACTTAACACTTTTCATACTAATAATTTACTTCTCTATGTCCATTTTTAGGGTGATAAGTTTCTTTTTCACTGACATACTTTAGGAACAAGATACAATTTTCATGCTTTCCTGTGTGAGTTTTTGTGAAAAAGGGAGGAGAGGACTTGCTGAAACATTGCAGTGATTCCATCCCTAACCAAGGGACTTTTTTTTTTGCAGAACAAAATTATCAGCAAAAGGTAATTCTACATAGACTGCATGTGCTAAACCCCTTAGTGTTCCAATTTATCTCTGCAGGGAATAAAAAACTGGATTCTCTTCTTTATCAATCCCACATTCTGGGGAAGCTGCATCTTTGACAAACTATGTAGGAGCAGGACTTTTCCAGCTGGTAGATGCACTCATCCTATTAATATTCCTCAAATACCTATCCTGTCTAAAAATGTTGAATTATTTTCTAAAGCCATCAAAGAAAGAGGGCTTTAAAGTCATTGTCACTTCCCAGAGTGTTATAGAGTTCTTTGGTTATTCATTCTGAAAGCTGCAAAGGCAGCAAAGCATCTTTGTCAACTGAGGAGGTGAGTGCTTCTATCAGAGTTCAGAAATCCTTCCCATCATACTGGTTTTCCCCCTTTTTTTTCTGGAGGGCATGATTCACTGAAAGGAACTGAACATATTTATGTTCTTTCTTGAACTAAGATCTCATCTGAGTCATCGCTGTGAGGTTTTACATGTAGGAGGGGGAGATCCACAAAAAAACTTCACTACTATGATCACCCCAAATGTTTTCACACTGATAACAGAGGGAGTCAGCACACAAGGTTTCTATGGTTACTCATGCCCATGTAAACACTTCCAGGGAGTTCAGAGGGTCACTTTTTTTTTTAACTGAAATTGCTTCTGTGTGGCCTTATGTAAAAACAAATAAGGAGCTGGAATCAAAAATTAGTGTCTGGATAAATTTTATTAGCAAAATCAGTGTTATGGTTTACAAAGACAAGGCAAAATATGTGAAAACCAGGTTAGATAGGGCTCTGAGAAACCTGGGATTGTGGAAGGTGTCCCTGCCCATGGCAGTTTGGAATGAGACGATCTAAAGGTGCCTTCCAACCCAGGAAGTTCTGTGGTTCTGTGGTACTATGATCTACTAAAACATCAGCAAAACACACTGTTATAATCCTCCTGGAGGTGAAGGCTGAGTGGGTGCACACCTTTCTCAAGCACTGTTCAAGCTACCCACAGACCACTGATAACTGCATCAATCATGAGTCTCCTGGGAGACTCATGTCTCTGTCTGTGTCTCATAGCACCACTTGCAGCTATGTTCATGCAAACTTTTATTACAGATATTCTGCAGCTAGGGAAATAATGGCCAGCAAAAACTTTGTTTTCTCTAGTTTTTGTTTTTAGTTGTTGTAACACAGATGAGTGAATTGTGCAGTTGAGACAAATATCTGAATATATTTTTGCCCATACTTGAATATGTCTAGGGAATTTTGGATACAGAGCTATCTTCATCTCCCACAGCAGCTCCCACCACAAATATAACCTCTCAGTTTCTAAAGTAATTACAGTATCTCAGTAGTATCATTTGGATTAATTACTTTCATTCCCATTTCACAGGTAGAAAAGTAGCTTTAAAAAGCAGCATTCTTCTTTTACCTCAGAACCACTAAATGCATTCTAGTTACAAAATAAACAAGTCTTTCATCTGTGCTAGTGAATCAACTTCAGCAAACATACCTCAGACTAAAATGAACATGTTTTGTCTTTACTGGTGCAACATGTAGCAGCTTCATGTTCATCAGTGATGCTGCAGGACCAAAAAAAAAAAGTTAATTTTAGCAGCATAAACAAGTCATTAATGTTTTTCCCAAACTTATACAGGCAATTCCCAGGGGAGTGAGGAGCTGAACATAGGTTAGTGACTTAACCACTGGACACTCCTTTCTGACTAGCTGACCTCTGAGGAGGTATCCTGCAAAATTTCCGAGAATTATCAGCTTTTTCTTGGTCTCAGCAGGACTCGAAGTCCTGAGCACTTGGAATTCCACAAACACAATCTGCACGATGATGAAGCCTAGTTATGACAAGACCATGGGTGTGGGCAACATTTTTATAAATGCATTTGAAAAGCACAATTTTAAATGTATTGTACCTCATTCACTTAGTTATGGTATATTTTTAATTACTATTGCAATAACATCTGGAAGCCTCGCTCAGGATCTGGCCTCACTGCACCCAAACTGTGTGAGACACAACTTTTCTGTGTTGTAGCGAACAAGACCCTGCAGAATTCCTCATGTAAGGGGAGAGGAAATGGGGACATGATTCTGGCATCTGGGGCTGGCAGGCAAGCAGGATGCTGTGGGATTGTCCAATGGGTATGTGTCCAGCCAGGAAAAGGGCCACAGCATAAGGCTGAAAACAAAACCCTCTCCCAAGTCTGCTTTCACACACAGCCCCAGGAAGTGAAGCCAGCCAGCTGCAGGGCAGGCACATGAAACTTTTGCTCTGCAGCGTCAGTTCATCCAGCCTGCAGGTTCTCCGAGCAGGAGGTGCTGGATAAGGGCAGGAGGGTTGGCCTTCCCTGCCGGGGAAAGATGGGAGCATCACTTAGTGCTCGACATCCGATAGCGCTCGTGTCCTGGAATGAAGGAAGGCATCAGTCTCCCTCCCAAAGAGATCAGAATCCAAGAGACGAGAGGGAACACCCAGCTTAAGAAAACAGGGCCAGGGAGGGGCAAGGCTGAGGAGAGGAGGGAGTGAATTTCTGGATGGAGATGGGAACTTGATTCCCAGATATGCCCTCAGGCAGTCTATACCAGCAAACACAGCAGTAAGCTGTACTTGTAAATATATATTTTCACTTAAACTGTAAATAGTGATGACAGCTGGGAGAAGAGCAAAGATGGGTAGGAGGGAGGAGAAGAGAGATTTTTTTTTTAATTTCTCATGAAGAAATAAAGTTGCCAATCTTAGAACTGGTGAAAATGTGTACTGGCATCAAACCAAAACTCATCTCCTGAATGACACATGCTGACAATCAAGGTTCATTGTTTTTTCACCTAATGAGATCATTTCACAAAGCATTGGAGTATTTTCAGGTTAGGGCCAGATCCTCACAGTGATACAAACCAGTGGGATGACTCAGGGCTGCTAAACTACAGAAGATCTGGCCTTCTAGGCAAAATTCTAGGCAAAAGATGCCTGGATCATCATAGAAAATGGACTTTCAAGGCCTTTAAATCTTTGTTCCTCAGATCCTGTGGATATTGTTAGATCTTACAATTCTACTGTAATTATATTATCCTTCAAGTCATGGACTTCCTAGAGAAATCATAATGAAATTCTCACTTGGTAGTAAAGACACTGTACATCCCAGCCTTCTCAAATTCCTGAAAAGGTTTGGATCAGAAAAATAGAATCAATTAAATTCAAACCATTGGAAGGAAGGCCTGTTCACTGTAAACAATTAAACAATTTGTCCTTCTAAACATATTTTTGATTGTTTATTTGTTTTAAAGTTCAAGTCAAATAAGCTGTTTTGATCTGTAGAACTGAAGCCAAAATATTTTCAGATGGTCAATTTGTAAACTTTTTGACATTGACTCATGTTTTTTCTTGCCAGATTCATGGCTTTTATCTCTTTGAGACTCCCTTGGCTTCTGAGAGACTTCCTTGGCTTCTGAGTGCCAATTTTAAATAGTGGCTCAAACCCCAGTTAGATTCTTGGTACCTGAGACAAGCTCCAGTGATTTAAAGCATTTTCAAAAAATTCTAGTACAAGTAACACTAATTTCTTCTATACAATTCGAACAACACCATCTCAACTTTGCAGGGCTCTAAGAGAAAAATCTATAGTAGAGATGTAAACCTCAATTGCTCTCTGATATTTTGACTCAATTTCCTGCATTCAAAGCCTGTCCTGCTTTGCCCACCTGAGCTAAAGTGTTCAGGGACTTCTCTGGACTAAGAAAGTACCTGCTAAACAACATGTGAATCAGGGGAAACTATGTTTTGCAACTCTTCTTTCTTCTGTTTTGCAGAGATGGCAGAGAGGAATGAACATCTTAGTATAGCTGCTCTTGGTGGAGGAGACACCAGGGGAAACTGGGGCTGTGGCAGAGGGAATAAAGGAATGAAACTGTTGTGGTCTGCACAGAGCAGAAGGCTCCAACAAAGATATGGGGCAAAATCCAGGAGTGTTTCTGCATGTCTCCATAGCCCATCTCACCTAATTCCCAGCAATTTTTGTAATATGTGAGTCTGATAGGGTGATACAGCCCATGTGTCTTTCTCTTAGTCCCTCCTAATTAACTTTTAACTTGGCCCCTGCTGAGAGAGGATCTCAAGGTGTTTCACCAGATGGCCAGAGAGAAAGGACAGAAGAGCTATTCCACCTGAGGGAAGTCCAGGCAAGGGAGAGTGTGGGGGTACCAGTCATCAGTTTTTCTGGGTCTGGATTGAAGGCACTTGAGACAGTAGTTTATGTTTGGACTCAGGTGTTTATTATTTCTTATTAGTACAACAGTCTCATTACTGTGAGTTCGGTAGCTTTTCATTAGAAGGTACAAAATGGCCAACAATCTCTTGTTACAAGGTCATTTAAAACTAAACTATCCAATTAAGAACTGACACCTAGATTATTTTCCTTTTTAACCCAATAACTGATCCCAAAGACTTTTCTTCACACTTACAAAATGCCACCCAATCCCATGAAGAAGAAGGAAGAAGCATGAAGAAGAAACCCAGGATGAGAGCCTGTGCCCTCCATCTTGCTTCCATCCACAACATATTAAAAATCCCAAAACCTAAATTTCTCACCAAGTGATACACCTACACTATAATCTTTTATATAATCTATTTCACACTTTTGTGGATTCTAGTCTGTCTTGAAGTCTAGGAAACTTTCTCCATGAATGAGGGTCAAAGTCAGTGCTCCCCTGGCACCCCAGAGCAGACAGAGAAATATTCCCGGTGCCCTGGGTTTCCACAGGAGAGAATTCTGGAGCCATCGGTATCAGGCAATCCACACAGCGTAACAATTTAAGAACATCCAAACTGCTGCGGAAGTTTTGGCTGCAATTTGATTTTTTAGGAAACCAAAGAACCTAACTGCAAATCACAACACAAAACAAAATTCATTTTTGGTACTACTCAATGAAGTGCGCTGCTGCAGGAACCAGCAGGTCCAAACCTAGAAGCTTCTCTGGCCTCTGTTTGCATTGACTTCTTCCAGTCCAGCCCTGTCACGCCACAGGCCTCCTGTGCACCTCAGGCAGGTCAGCTCCTCTCTTTTGCAGAAAGATTTTCACCTGCAAAATAGGAATCGCTGGAGCACCATTCAGCCTGGTGGGAATACCATGACAGTACGTACTCTAAAAATACCAAATCACAAGTTTCCTGAAACTGAGGAGAGCAAAAGGGCTTGTCTAGAGCCACAATTCAGGCAGTTGTCTCTGCCTAAAAAGCTCTAATGGGATGACAGGACATGACAAAAAAAAAAAAGGATGTCACCGCCACCAGAGCCATGCCCTTTCTCAAGCATAAGCTGTACAACACAAGGACTTTGAAGCAGCACATCTGTATTCGTGGTGTACAGGCAAACCTCTGTCTGACAGAGATTTTGATTTAAAAAACAACATGAAAAACAGTAGTATAGATCTGGCCTGGGCCTATGTCATGTTTGCCAGGTTGAGTCCACCCAGAAACAACCAGAGGCACAATCAGGTACAGGTAGATGGAGCTGCCTTCCACAAGCAGAGACATTGAGAGAGTGAAGATCCATGCCACACTGAACTGTGTCTCCAAGTGCCATATCCACATGTATTTTTGTGTCTCCAAGTGGCCATATCCACATGTATTTTGGACATTTCCAGGGATGGTGACTCTACTACTTCCCTGGGTAATCTGTTCCAATGCTTTACAACCCTTTTTGTGGAGAATTTTTTCCTAATATTGCAGTCCCTGACTGATTCTGCTTTACACCAGTGCCTCTGATACAGGCTCAGTTAAAATTTCATGGCTGAGCTGGTGCAACTTGTCTATGTGATCGTTTTTAAAATGGTTTGATTTTTCTTTCCCCACCAGGAGAACAAAGAGAAACTGAACTGAGAGCAAGCAGATTAATCCACTGAAAAGATATTGTGTCAGGGTTATGGTTTGGAATATTTGAAGAATGTGAATATTGATAGAACAGAATCAGAAAGAGAGGCGGCCCTTCTTTTGTCACTTGTGCTTAGTTTGCACACGTTTTACTTTATCAGCTGCAGTGGAGTTTTTCCCAGTCTAAACCAGTGTTAGAGAAAGAGGTGAGGCACAGGAACACCAAGAGTGAGAATTTTTGTATTAGTGAACTGAACACTCTGGACCATGTTTAAGCATATACATTACATACACAGAAAAATGATGGGAAAGCATGAAGAAAAAAAACACTTGTGAAGATGCTAAATGCAATTTATTCAAAGAAATAAGATCAAAAGAAGTGTTTGAGCAGGAAAAAAATTATGCTGTATGCAAAGTAAAAAAAAAAAAAAAACCAACAAAAAACCAGCAAAAACAAATCCTCCTTGGCATTTACTCCAGAGAATACCAGAAAAACAAGATGATAATTAAGCTTCTGTGTTGCATTACTTTAAAAATTCACTTGAATGAAAGCAAGCAGTACAATAATGAACTGAGACACAGAGCACTGTTCAATTAGAGGTTGAATTTAAGGGAGTTTATAAGAGCAACACTTAACAAAGAACAACTTGGTTGAGCTTATTGTTATGGAAAAGGGGGAAAAAAGTTGTGGTGTGTTAAACGGCATTTATAAAATTGGAGGGTCTGATCAAACTGATCCAGATTAGTCCTCCACAGCCATAACACTTTAAAATTAGGTCAGGGGGATGAAAGGAGAGCTGAGTCTGAACTGTTTAGTACAAAGGCAATGTGACATATGGAACACGTTACAGCTCAAGAAGAGAGCATCAATGTTTTCAGGAAAGAAAATGACAGGGCACTCCATAAGGAAATTTACAACCATGGAAGCTTCAAAAGGAATACAATTCCTATTTATTTGAGTATTTGTTTAGGGGAGTCAAGCACTGGCTGTGCTCCAAAGTATAAGCATTATTTATTCTTCTTTCCACCTTCCTAACGATGGTGTTTGTGGGGTTTGGTTTGTTCCATTTTCATTGGGCTGCAATTTTGCCTTCCCAGAACACAAAGGACAAGGAGCTACTAACATTTTAAGGGCTATGTTCTTTAGGTTCAATAGTAATGGCTTTAAAACCTTCTTTTTCTGCATTTTCTGCTTTTACAAGGAGTTTAATAAGTGAAGACTTCAGTACAAAACAGTCCTTGAACAAGTTGTTCCTCAGCCTCCCTGCTAGGTATTTCAGATTCTATCTCCTGAAGGAAAATACTGAACACTAATACAGAACTTCAATTTCAAATAATGAACCTTACTGTAGCCTGAAAATTTCTCTTCAGTTAGAAACAAATTAAAGAAAATTGAGAGGTCATTCATTGTCTTTACACCATGTATAAAACTCTCATTTTCACTGACAAAAATTGAACGCTAGGAGGAAGGCAATGAAGCCACAATACATTTTTGTGGAGTGATACCTGCATTAAAGACATTTTTTCTGTTAGAATGTAGATGAACTAGTCTCCTTTCTTGCAGTAATGCTGGTTTTTTCTTCCACATAGCTGTAGACCAGCACAACCAGCTTCAGTCTAAGCTCAGTATTATTCCCAAATGTAAGGAAAAGGAAATAATTTGGTGAACTGCTGATCTTAGCTTCAACTTGGTGATAGAACACAGAAAAGAGGACAAGAAGATCATTTTGTTTTACCAGCTTGATGTTCGGGTATTTGTATATTCCATTTTTCAATATTGTTAGAGACCGGCCACTGAAAGATCTTCCAAAAACAGTCACACTTTCTTCAGGTAAATCTGAAGCAGCACCACACAAGTCTGCAGAGTTATTTTAAGTCTAAAGAGTATTTTAAGTCTATGCAAGCAACTTTTAAGCAGAAGACACAGCATTGTTTCTTAAATTCCTCCAGTTTATTTGGAATCATGCTGATTGTGAGCATTAACACCTGACCCATTCCCTATTGGGTTTCCTCATAACAGCTTACCATTACTGACATTAGCTGAAGAGAAAACCAAGCCAGCTCAGACTTTATGCCAGATTATGACCTCAGTTTTATGCAACTCAGTCTGCCATCGCCTGTTTTCTGTGTGACCAAAAGCAGAGTTTGGCCTCAAGCTTTAGTTTTTAAGAGTTGCATATACACAACTGTCTCCAAGCATAATACCATTCAATAATTTAAAATGGGAATAAATATCCTTTTCAATTTTCCCTAATTTCTAGCAGTCTAAAAATACATGTCTTATCTTTAACTGGGTAACTCTAGCAAAGTATTTTGCTTGTAAACCTAACTTCTGCCCATGCCCTTGAGTTCCATGGTCCAGACAGTCTGAAACCCCCAGGCTCGACCTGCCAGGTTCTCTTCTGCTTTCTACTAATCTTATCTCAATCAAAGCCCTCCTGGAGGTTTGACATCCCAAACTGTGCCTTCATATAAATGCAGACAAGAAGGAGGCCTTCATGACACTGTCAAGGAAGAAATTTCTGAGGTTTGAGGTGCTCTCAGCCCAGAGATGTTGGTGTAGGGTGAAATGATGGGAGCACAGGACAGAAAAGAAGCTTGTGTGTGGTTTTGTCTTTTCCTAGGAGGGCACAGGAGATATCTCCTGAATATGTGTAGGCTTCCCTTCACCTCCAGCCATAGGAAAAGCTGCTTTACATCAAAAAGGCCCATTACTCCTGCATGCAGCTCAGCAAAGCTCTTTGTGTTCTCACTGTCAAAAAGGCCTGAGAACTTTTTATCCCCTTTACATGCAGTTATCCCAAGACATTGACTGACCTCTCACCTTTTGTAAAAAGTTCTCCCATATGTTTGCCTCCCCAAAGTTCCTAAGGATGTGATTGCTTTGTTTTGTTTTTGCAGTGGGCTCCTTTCCATATTTTCTAGTAACAGACTGCGAGCAGGTTAGGAAGGTCCTTCAGAGGACTTACAGATTATGCTCCCCAGTTTTCCAGCATTAGTAATATCCTATCTCATTTGAACACAGGCCTTTACCTCAGAATTTGCACAGGATACTCTTGCTACTCATCACATGTTGCCAGAGCTGGTACCTCGTCGGGAATATAAAAAGGAGGGAGGATTGTCCCCCCCGCTTCCCTAGCTTTTCTCCCATGCCTGTTCAAGCTCAGCTTGCTCAGAACAACTCCTCCTGCAGCCAGAGGAGCAGGGACTGCTCACCCAATACTCCCTGCTGAGAGGAAGTGGGTGGAGAGGGGATACTGAGATGACAGAAGTGCAGAGAGCCCAAGCTTCACCCCACTCCACTTCCTTGCTCGCCAAAAGAGCTGGCTGGGAGCATGGGAGAGTAAACTGCTCCATGGGGAAAAAAAAAATTAAAAAAAAAATAAAAAAAGGAAAAAAGGAAAAAAATGAGGATGAAGTAATTGACTTTTGTAGCAGAGCAAAGGGAATGCAAGCAGTGGTGGAGGGAAGATAGGGAGGAACTGTGACTGACTCACAATATATTCAGTTCCCCGCTCCTGGGGAGATGCAGCTGTGCATCTCCCCTCATTTAGGCTGTAAAGTTACACCATCGTCCAAAGTAAGCATCCCTAATTCTCCTACTTCCTGAAGCACAACAGTGTTTGGCTCCTTTTTAATCAGGGATTTCTACTGTGCAAATTGAAGTCTAGGACCAGGCTTTTCCTATGTGCAGAATTAAAAATCCTTCCATTGATTGTTTTGTCAGTTCCTGGGGAAAACTACTGAACTGTTACAGCCGATTTACATTGGCCTGATCTTTTTTTAAAGCTCATTCCAAGTTATTCTTAATTCCTCAAGACACCTGAGATGTTGTGCATGAGCCAGCCACGGACACATTTGGCAATGCTTTCCACATCTTTTTCCTTCCCTCTGCTTGCTTCCCAGTTACTTCTGGTCTCACTCAAGTAAGGACTGTTTCCCTTTTCTACCACTTCAGTAGAAGAAATAATGGCATGGAATTACTTCTGATTTTGGCCAGCTTTGGTTAAGGCCAGCAGAGTATGGGGAAGAAGCTGAAGGAAGAAGCTAATCCAGTGCGTAGAACTAACCTAGGCCAGCCCAGACCTCACGAGAGGAAGGTCTGAAGGCCCACTCTCCCATTTTCTTCCCATGTGAGCTTTGGCTTGCATAACTTAAGAAAAGTCATACAACCTACCTGGGTTTCACTATCCAAACTGTAAAACAGCCC